GAGCAGTATCATTTCAATAAAATTTTATAATAATATAATTGTTTCCTTAGATTGATTTCAGGTGTCCCTCCGGATCACGTTCCGAGCGCAGAATTCGACAATGGACTGATCTGACGACACTAAGAGAAGGAGATATCCGGTGGATGTTAGAAAAAAACAGAGTTCCTCTGGACCAAACGTCCACTCGATCATCCATTAACATGCTGGTATTATCCGATGGTCAAATTAAATGGCCAGCGGTGGTGACAGGAAACGGAGGACAGAGGATGCTTGAGAAATGTTGACAAATTCATGGCGTATGCTTAACGAGGACAAGTCGAATAACGGACACCCTGATTTCGCGGGCGCAGTGCATTTAAAAAGCGAAGTTTGCAGAAGATAGGATTCATTATTTGCAGTTGCTACAAAGTAACAAACTTCAGTTTGACGATATACCATATCGAGGCTAAAATACAAGGAAAAACTTCAAACAGATAAGGAGTATTTGTTCTTAAGGCTAGAAATGTTAAAATGGGAGGGAGCTTTAGGGTCACTCAGAAGCGGAATACTGAGCATCCATACGCAAAGGCTAATCCAGTTCGGTTGTCATGTTGGAAGCTAATTGAACGCTACACCTGTCAGAGGTCGTAGTCCCTTGACGCGGAAACAAAAATATCCACTAACCACGATCAGTGGAGGTGATGACATAAAAAGAAGAGCGTGTAACGCCTGAGTTGTTGACTGCGCCTCCATGATGTGCGATGACTGCATCACTCCATATCGATGAAGTTCACCCTTAATCTTTGCAACAGCATTATCAAGCAGGAGTGCATATCTATCAGTCAGTGTCAGTCACTCAGTCATTTTCGATGAGCGTTTATCCTCTCGCGTCGCGAGACAGATATTTCAGACAGTGTCTACCGTGCTCCCAGTCTTGTATTAGAGTTTCGGCTTCTGCAAAAGATAACCCGAGCCTGGAGCAACGTAATTCGATATACTTGCCCCAGGTTATTCTTGGCCGTACCGGGGTCTTCGGTCTGTACGTTGGGCAAGTAGAAGAAGACTCGATGGGAGAATCAACAACTGTAGATCAAGGGTTTCTCGAATATCTCCACTTCGAACCATGTCGAATGGCGTGAGAGCAGCAATTCGTAGCAGAAAACCCATTTCAGCCGTTTGTAACGGTAACTGAAGTTTTTCAGCCGTGGCCAATTACTCCTGACCGTAGGTGAGCACAGAGATGAAGATCGACGTGAACATCGACGGCTAATCTACAGATTTTCCTCTGCTTTGGTCACAGCGGTTTGGGCTAGTTCACGCAGAATGTCACTAAGCAATTCAATTCGCCGGTCGATCTCTTCCTCAAAATTTCCATCACCAGTAAACACGAACCGAGATATTTGACCTTCATCTGATCCACTGCTTCCCTGCTTATCAGAAGAAAGCAAGGGGCAGGAGAATGAGAAAGCATTGGGCCTTTTGTTTTAGATGCGTTCACATGCATGCCGGTCACGTCGCACTCGGCTGCGAACTTTTCTAAGAGCACTGGAGATCAGTTTCAGACGATGCTAATAAAACAAGGTCGTCTGCAAACAGCAACCTTCTCGTCTTCACATCTCCTACACCGATACACTCACTGCCGTGGCAGCTATAGACTATTATATCCATGTACAACACAAACAGGAGAAGGGACAGGACGCAGCCATGGGGGAGACCAGTGCCAACGTTGAAAGGCTTCGACTTAACGCCATCTACACTGACGAGGTACCTGCTATCAGCATACAGCGATTGGATGCTTTGTAGCAACTGATCATCGATGCAATATGTTTGCAGGGTCGCCCAGAGATTGCTGTACTGAATCCAGTCACATGCTTTCGCCAGATCCAAGAAGCTCATGCACGCCAGGTGAGGCGGTAGGTAATCTGCCAGAATACTTTGTTTGCCTCTGAAAATTCGACTGCAGCACCTTACCGAACTTTGGCCAGGAATGAACTAGCGATTTGGTCGGTGCTTTTGCTTCGAGCCATCTGTTGAATGCGGCGTTCTTCTCGCTGAGTGTTGTACCTCTCTTGTCCACCAAGAGGTTCTTTTCTGA